ATATGCACAGGTACATATGGATTGTATATATATATATTATAGTTGTTATTGCTGCAGATAGTGTTACTGTATTAGTATTGCTAAAACACCAAGTTAGAAATAAATATTGTAAGTCAAAATGTATAAACTGGTGTGAAATATCATACATAGGCGTGAAATACCATATAATAGACTACAGAGCGATTTGTTTTAGAAACCAGTGAGCATAGACAGAGCAGTGAAGTAAAATATTAAATGTGGCATGCAATACCTTATAATGACTATAATTCCATCAAAGATATTATATGGATTTCGGAGATATTCAAAAAATCCAAAAGCTGAAAGTTTGAGCATCATTTCCAGAGCAAACATGCTGGTGAATACAATATTACTTATCTCCAGAATGTTGGTGAGTTCTTCAGGCTGTAGATAGAGCAGAAATTGTGACAGTAATTAGGAATTAAGATTTTACTTTAGTTTTAGACCTAGCTCTGTATTGTTTTTTTCTGTGTAATTATAGTACATTGTTTTATAATTATTTTGTGCCCATGATGTTGTTTTTTTCTCTATATACTACATTAGTCAGGTCACAGGTCCCTTGTGATAGAACTGTAGACTTTTCTGTTCTCAAAGTTACCATCCCAAAATTGGGAGGCGCATGACTAATTCAAGAATTTGACAGACTCTTAGCACATCATCTACTGAATGGAAGTACTATTAACTTCTTTGTACACGTAAGTGACTTTATTGTAGTGTGCAGTTGGGGGAGGTATGGAATCTGGCCATTTGCAGCTTAATGTCACTGGGGCACTGCAGCATAAAAACCTGCACACTAGCTACACTGACAGTCCACCTGGAAGGGGGATACTTCAGAAGACCAAAACAGGTGTGGGGCCACACAAACATGCAGCATTGAAAGAGCATTTTCTACTTACTGAATAACTAGGCACCCATTAGTGTACAATGTGTACTGGTCTCTGTTCAGTCTGCACTGCCGTGCTGTGACTTGTAGTGACGTCCAGTGTGCTGCAAAAAAATGCAGCATGCTGCATTTTTCTGCAGTGCACTGCCTATCACACCTGCATTGTGGTGTGAACAGAGCACTTAGCAAATAATTTGTCCTAGCGGTAACCTGCATTGATCTGGTGCAATAAAATGCAGGTCACCGATGTATGTTTGAATGGGCCCTGAAAGTTAATTTCTTGCATTGCCGCTCTTTGCTGACAATGTATATGCTAAGATCAGTAACAGAATGGTTCCAGTTGACCCTGAGCTCTCTTACAGGGGCCCCATCAAGATTTTGTTATGGAGCTCGGTGATCTGTAGTTACACACCTGGGAGACACCCAACTACTGTTTGCTTATGGAAAGGCAGAATGACCACTAGTAAGTACTTTGGATAAATAATACAACATTTAAGAGAGAGTGACAGAGATAGAAAAAGAGAGATGCTTATTTGGTATGACATTCTGCTAAAAACCAACATACAAAAAACATTTTAAAATACATTTAAAACAATCATTTTAAATGTTTGGAGTTTTTTTTTAAAGTAATATTTTTAATATTAATTGTAAATATATTTCACAGGC